AATGGAAGAGAGGAGAGATGGGATATTAGAGATGAATAAGATGGTTAGGGTGAGAGGGAAAGCGAAGGGAAGGAGGGAAAATGAAGAGGAAGCGAAAGAAGGGGAAAAGGAGGAAGAGAGGATATAGGAAAAGAGAATTTGAAAGGCAAGAGAGTAGTTGAATTATTATTGGTGTTATTGGTAAGATTGTGGGTATTGTTCTCATTATTATTACTACTATAATTATTGTTATTGATGTTATAGCTGTTATGATTCAATTTTTGTTATTCCTACTATTACTACTGTTGTTTGTTATTGTTATCAAAATTGTTGTTGATATCATTATTGTTATTAGTATTACGATTATGATTATCATTATTTTTTCATCTTTATTATTCCATTATTATCATAGTTATTTTCATTGTAATTGTTGCCATCATCATTGCCATCATCGGAAATTATTTCTTAAATAGCATAATATAGAAAAAAGTAATGAACACTTTATCTGTAATGTCCTCAGTACAAGAAAATATATAAAGAAAAATATTTAAAAGGCACCGATGAACGTTTTTCAAGATAATTTTTTTATACCATGTATTTGTTTTATTAATTACTTGTGATGTCTCTTAATATTTGATTAAAAAGAATCACTATAAAAGTATGTATTTTTCTCTAGTTTGCTTCTTTGGAGAAATCTTGCATCGGAAAGGCAGATTCGTGTTTACTTTTTCCTCCCTTCATTGTATTTTTACTTCGTTCACTATGAATCTTGCGTTATTTGTGTTGAAGCAATCTCTCTACATTTCCCTCTGCATTTGGCGCTATCCTCCCCACTCTCCCTCACTCTTATCTCATCCCCCTTTCCTCTTTTTCCACTCTTCACAACCACCTTTCTCTCCATCCTCTCTTCTCCACTCGTCCTCACCCTCCATTTCCTCCTCTATTTCTCTTCTCTCCCTTCACCTCCACCACCTCGTCACTTCCACCTCCTTCTCTTTCTTTGCTTCCTCCTTCTACATCTCCACCTTCTCCTCTACCTCCTTCTTTTTCTCCTCCTCTTCCGCTTCTTCCTTTTCCTTCTCCCCCTCTTAGACCCATAACTACACCTACACTTCTTCCTGTTCTTCCTCTTCCTCCTCTTTCTGGGTGGGAAATAGTACAAGGGGAAGATAGAGTAGAGAAAGGAAGAAGAGAAGGTAGGAGGAGAGGCACAACAAGGAAGAGTGAATGAAAGAAATGAGGGAAGGAAATGAATGATTCAATGGGGGTAAATAAGAGAAAAGAGGAGAGGAAAATGGAAGTTTAAAAAGAAGGAAGGAAGAATGGAAGGAAAGAAGAGGGGATGAAAGAGAGGACAGAAGAGAAAATAGGAGTGAAGGGAGAGGCAGAACAAGAGGAAAGGGTTTTAGGTTTACTTTCCATCCCGAGAATGTTATCATCTTTACTCTCCTTTCTCCTCATTTCTCTCTCCTCCCTCCTTTCCTTTTCCTCTCTCCTCCCTCCTCCTCATTTTATGCTCTTCAATTTCCTTCCTTTCCTTCCCCTTCCCTCTCCTAACCATCTTCATCATCCCTTATTTCACTACTTTCTTCTCTTCCATTCGTCCTCTCTTCGCTCTTTTCCCCTCTCCTCATAACCTCCTATTCCCCCTTCCCCTTTACTCCTCTTCCTTCCTACTCTCTCCTTTCGTATCTTCTCTGCTCCTTCCCTCCTCTCTCATACTCGCTATTCTTTAAACCCTTCCCTTTGTCCTTTCCCTTCTCTCCCATTTTTTTCTGTCCTTCTTCCCTTCCCCTCTTCCCCTTCTTCCCCTTTTTTTTTTTACTCTCCTTTTCTTTCCTTTCCTCCATTTGAGTCCTTCCTTTCCTTCCCTACTTTCTTTCATTCCCTCTTCCTTGTTTTGCCTCTCCTTACTTTCTCTCCTCTCTTCCCTTTCTTTCTTATTATTCCCCTTCTACTCTTTCCCACCTAGGAGGAGGAGGAAGAGGAGCAGGAGGAAATACAAGTGAAGGTATAGGTCTAAGAGGAGGGAGAGGAAGAGGAAAAAAAAAGAAGAGGGGAATGGGGAAGAGAAAGAGAAGAAAATGGAGAAGTTAGAGATAAAGGTAGATATGTAGGAGGAAGAACAGGAAAAGGTGGCGGGTATGAAGTAGAAGGAAGAGGAATAAAAGAAAGAGGAGGAAAGGAGGAAATAGAAGGTGATGACGACGAGGAGCGGAGGGAAAGAGGACGGAGAAAGTGGTGGTAGTGAAGAGTGGAAAAAGAGTGAGGGAGAATAAGGATAGCGCTAAAGGAAGAGGGAAAGTTGCAGATATTGCAACACAAATAACGAAAAATAATGTAACGAAGTGAGGAAAAAGAAAACACGAATAAGCCTTTCCGTTTTAAGATTTCTCCGAAAAAGCAGACCAGCGAAAAATACGCTTATGTAAAAATTTTGTTACATTTAACGTAATACATGAAATAATATTGCTTCACTGTTACAAAATTTTAACCAAGTAATAACAATAATGTTTGAAGACACTTTCAATATATATTTTAATGTACTGATGACATCAAAGACCTACTGAATTTCTTTTTCTTTTTGATATCTATGAAATAATTTATTTTTTATGGCAGTGGCATCAGTGATTGTTAATGACGATGATGATAACAAGGACAATGATTATAATAATGATAAAAACAACAACAACAACAACGCCTGGTATGATAATAATAAAAACAACAACAAAAAATGACAACAAAAATTATGATAATATAATGATAATAATAATACAACAATAACAACAGTAGTAATGATAATAACAAATGTCATAATCATAACAAGAATTACATCAATAACAAAAAGTAGCAATGAAAATCCGTAATCATAATAATAAAGATGATAATCATAGCGATAATGATGATAATAGTAATAACAAAACAAACAAGAAGACGTAGAGGAAGATGGAGAAAAGCTATATCTATCATCATAGCCATAATTGTGAACTACATAAAGTGCTTTATTATTTTTCAAATCATAAACGACGTCAACAGGTGGGGGGGGGGGTCATGTTGCATTATCACATGATATCTAATTTGATATGTATCCTTTCTCTCTCTCTCTCTTTCTTTTATTTCATCTACGTTTTTTTTCCTCTCTCGTCTATTCTCTCTATCCCTTTCTCTTTTCTCTCTCCCTTTCTTTTCTTTCTCCGTTCTCTTATGTTATCCCTTTCATGATGTTGCAATCTGAATTATGCAGAGTCTTGCATGATATAAACCTTTCTCTCTTCGTCTTTATTTCACCCACATTCTCATCTACTTCCTTTCTTTATCCTCGTCCCGCTAAACCCACCTCTCATCTTCTCTTCTCCTCTTTCCTTCTTCTTCACCCCTTTTCCTCCCATCCTCCCTTACACCCTTTGCTCCCTGCCCTTATCCGAAAGAATGCAAAGAACGCGATATATTGATCCCGTTGCACCGCGCTTCAGTTTATTCCCTTCCGGACACTGAGACGGAGACGAAGTGCAGCGTAGATAAGGGTTATTATTGCCCCCTTTGTATTTAAGTTTCCGACTTTAAAGGTACGTTTGAGGAGTGGTTGTCGTGGGAGCAATGTCTGGCGGGTGTGTTTGCCAAAGGCGCCGCGAGATGGGGTTGGTGAGCGTGTAAGGGAGAGTGGGAAGGGAAATGCCTCGATGGGGAGTATTTTGGGGGGAATTCTGACATCCTATTTGCTTATTTGTGAATGTTTTGTTTATCGATCTATACGTTGAAGTATGTGAGTCGAATGTTTTGGTATTTTTCGCTCTGTTTAGGTGAAATCTTACTCATCATAGCCATATCACGGCTGCTTTCAGATGCCCCTTTAATTTGCTATCTGTTAATTTATTTTAACTTCAGGCTGTAGCTGTGTTGATAGGCGATGGTATTAAGAAAATATTTTGCATATTCGTATAATAACTTCAGTTGATATTAAGGGTTAAATGAGCAGTACGAGATACACTATACTGGCTACAGAATGTGTTGCGTGCTTTATTTCTTTCTTTTTTTTGTCCATGTATGCGTGCAACTCAATGTGCGCCGCATGACTGTGTGGTTGACGGTATGTACTGCCAAAACTTATGTGGAATTACGTTCTTTTCGGTTATCTGTTTTATTGCAGTTATGTGGATGTGCAATTGTACATGCGTGAATATTCCTGTGCTCTCTCTCTCTCTCTCTCTCTCTCTCTCTCTCTCTCTCTCTCTCTCTCTCTCTCTCTCTCTCTCTCTCTCTCTCTCTCTCTCTCTCTCTCTCTCTTTTTCTGTGTGCGCGCGCGTGAGTGTGTCTGTGTGTGTATCCTTTGAATATATATATCAAAAAGAATCTTTTACACATCCACTCTCATGTTTTAAATATACACATTTATATGATCCATTGTCATTCTGTTTGCAATTTTGTTTGCTATCTACCTCTATTACAACATAAACAATGATCATACAGATTCAGACAATGTTTATTAAGAAGGACCGATATGACCTCACACACAGATTACAGCACTAATACCTCATACAGATTCAGTGTTGAGAAGGACCGTTATCCCTTCCCATTCTCGTGTTGGCAACAGCTTATTTAGAGTTAGTGGCTAACCATCTTTTACTGGATGATATATTCTGTCCTTTGGAAGCTCACTGAATCAGCAGTGATAGACTTTCTTCCTGGAAAATTGAGGAGCTAGATATTGAAGCTTTTCTCTATTCTAGCAAGCTTAACCTGCTACGTACAGTATCATAGAGTTTGTGTGTGTGTGTGTGTGTGTGTGTGTGTGTGTGTGTGTGTGTGTGTGTGTGTGTGTGTGTGTGTGTGTGTGTGTGTGTGTGTGTGTGTGTGTGTGTGTGTGTGTGTGTGTGTGTGTGTGTGTGTGTGTGTGTGTGTGTGTGCACGTGTACGTCTACATACTGTAAACAAACACACTACACATCTAGAACCTGTCTGCCCAGGTCCCGCCCTCGCCGTCTTCACCGCCCCTTCCAGCGCCGCCCATTTCCACCAAATAGATGCACTCGCAGGCAGCCATGGGCGGGCGTTTATCCTGGGGCGTGGGTTTGGCCGTGGGAATGGGCGTGACGACAGCGGTGGGCGTGTGGGCGTGGAAGGCTCTTCATGGACGGGTTTTCAAGTGAGTGTTCTTTGGCTTACCGTAAGAGGGCCATCCTTGCCATTGGTGTTATTGTGTCTCTATATACATATATGTACATGCATACATATATACATACACACATACACACACACACACACACATGTATATATGTGTGTGTATGTATATTATGTATATATATATATATATATATATATATATATATATATATATATATATATATATATATATATATATATATATATATATATATATATATTATATTATTATATATATATATATATATATATATATATGTATATATATATATATATGTGTGTGTGTGTGTGTGTGTGTTGTGTGTGTGTGTGTGTGGTGTGTGTGTGTATGGGTGTGTGTATGTGTGTGTGTGTGTGTGTGTGTGTGTGTATGGGTGGTGTGTATGTGTGTGTGTGTGTGTGTGTGTGTGTATGGGTGTGTGTATACATATATGGATTTATGTTTAATATACATGTAATTTATTTTCATCCTATAGGGAAATTATAAAAAAAGTGTTCTTCAATATACATTCCATGTATATTTTTTCTGCTAATAAACAAATAAGAAAATAATCAAACGGAAAAAAAGATAATCAACCAAGTAACCCCTCCCCCCCCCAAAAAAAAAATACTGCATTCTTTTCGATCTTGTTTTTGCTTTCTTTCTTTCTTTCTTCTTTTCGAAGATGGGAAGAAGTGGGTATACTAGACCAGCTGGTGATATACCCCTTGAAGTCGGCAAGGGGTGTTTCTGTTCCATCTGCCACGGCAAGAAGGCACGGCTTGGCGAAAGACCATCTGCAAGACAGGTTTGTTCGTCTATCTCTCTTTTTTTCTCTTTTTTTTCTCTTTTTTTTTCTTTTATTTTTCTTTTTTTTTCTTTTATTTTTATTTTTATTTTCCTTTTCTTTCTTTTTTCGTTTTCTTTTCTTTCCTTTTTCTTTGTTCTCTCTCTTCTCTCTCCCTCTCTCTCTCCTTCTCTCTCTCTCTCTCTCTCTTCTCTCTCTCTCTCTCTCTCTCTCTCTCTCTCTCTCTCTCTCTCTCTCTCTCTCTTTCCTCCTCTTTCTCTTTCTTTCTTTCTTTCTTTCTCTCTCTCTCTCTCTCTCTCTCTCCTCTCTCCTTCTCCTCTCTCTCTCTCTCTCTTCTCTCTCTCTCTCTCTCTCTCTCTACATACACACACACGCATAAACACACATACACATCATATTGTGTGTGTGTGTGTGTGTGTTGTGTGTGCGTGTTGTGTATGTGTGTGTGTTGTGTGTGTGTGTGTGTGTGTGTGTGGTGTGTGTGTGTGTGTGTGTGTGTGTGTGTGTGTGTGTGTGTGTGTGTGTGAGTGTGTGTGTTTATGTTTTCAGACCTTCAGTCTACCATTAAACATAATCCGATTAATTTGAATCAATCTTTTTAAAACACGTGCATGATTACATACATATCAGGTCATTCATGGTGATACGTGAAGACGGCAGCTTTATCTCGGGTCGTCATGCAGGGAGCCTCATGACTGTATCGGTGACTCTCGAGGCTCATGACCAGCTTACTCTCCACGCTCCAGACGGCTCGGATATACAGGTCGACCTCGACGGCGTGACGAGGAAGGCAGCCGTCGTGGAAGCGAGGTAATGGAGCTTCTCTGTTGACTTTCTTTTCCTCGGGACGTGTTTGTTTTGCTTTGTATGCATTCAGAACATTTTCTTGGTGTTTTTGACTCTTAAAAGGATAATCGTGTTTCTTATCGTGTGTGCATAATGAGGTAGATTAATACTCGTGTTCTGTTGAATATGAAATGCTTGTCAGAATGTGGGGAAAGGATGTAAAAGGAATTGACTGTGGGGACGAGGTGGCAGAGTGGCTAACGCGTATCCTCTTCGACGGAGAAACGAAAGTTCGACTCCTGTACAAAGGGAACGTGATGGAAGACAGACCAGCCAATTCGCCGCAGTACTTCACCTTCCCACAGTTTCAAAAGACAGATCGGGTTAGTTGCTAAGATCCTCAGGCATTATTTATATGCTTGGATTGTGTGGAATTCATGTTGAACAGATTGCAACAGGAACAACGAAGGGAAGGGCAAGAAAACACACGAATATGCCCGTGTGTTTTCTTGCCCTTCCCTTCGTTGTTCCTGTCGCAATGCTTGGATTGCTGTGTGTAATTTGTAAGACAACCTGGACCCCTTCCCTTTTCTTCCCTCAAGCGATACCTTTGACTATACTACCCTGCATAACCCATACCACGAAAGCATTGCAACAATCCAAAAAACACCCACCAAAGCACCACCCATGACAGATGTATTACGCCGACACCTGCGCTTACCTCGTAGCCACAGCCCCTTCGTTGCAAGACCTGAACGCACGCTTGCAAGAACCCGTCCCCATGAGCTGCTTCCGTCCCAACCTTGTGATCGAGTGCGACACGCCCTTCGATGAGGACGACTGGGCCTTCCTCAAGATCGGGGAAGTCGTGATGAGGAGACTCAAGCCTTGCGAGAGGTGAGGTCATGAGGAATGTGGAGTATGAGAAAGGAGGAGTCATGAGAAAAGTTATGAGACTGAGGAGGCGTGAGAAAGATGGGGTCATGAGGAAGAAGGATCAAGAGAAAATTGGGGTCATGAGAAAGAGGAGGTATGATGATGGTGTGGCTCATGAGAAAAGGAGACATGAGGAAGGTGGGATAATGTGGGAGAGGTGTGAGAAAAGTGGTCATGAGCAAAAGGAAGAGTGTGAAAGGCGGGGTCATAAAAAGAGGCATGAGGAAGATGATGATCATGAGAAAGAGGAGGCATGCATATGATGGGGTCTTGAGAAAGCTTAGGAATCATGAGGAAGGCGGAGTCATAAGAAAGAGAAGACATGAGGTAGGTGAGGTAATGAGAAAGTTAGGGTCATGTAAAAGAGGTGTCGTGAGAAAAGAGGTTCAGCAGGAGGTGAGATCATTAGAAGGTGAAATGGAGTCATGAGAAGGTGGATTCATGAGACCTGGGTGGGAATTTGAGAGTTACAGCGCAAGCAAGTCTGGATGAAATATAGAAACATGACAAATAATACATTAAAAAAAACACAGAGAAAAAACATATATCCTGATATACCAACTTCTCTTTTGCTTTCCTAAATTTGTCCGTGACAGATGTATACAAACGACAGTTAACATGAAGACGGGACTGCGTCACCCTAAAGGAGAACCCATTACCACTTTAAAGACGTAAGTACAGTTATAATAAGCTCATGTGCCAATGATTTAATATCTTTTTTTCCTGGGCATGGATCTGGTAGAATACTCAATCATATTTGTTTGTATCTTCATGAACCATTACCTATTACATTTGCATCTCACAGATATATTTATCTAATTATTTTCGACCCAGATGATATTCTCAAAAATCTATCATGCTCACCAAATTTGCTATCACTTTCGTGCTTCCATACCACCCTTGCTGCTGAACCGAGTCACTTTTGAAATACATTTTAGATTGTCTTTCTCTCTCTCTCTCTCTCTCTCTCTCTCTCTCTCTCTCTCTCTCTCTCTTCTCTCTCTCTCTCTCTCTCTCTCTCTCTCCTCTCTCTCCTCCTCTCTCTCTCTCTCAATTTATCTATCCATCCATCTATCTGTCTCTGCCTTCTCTGCCTCTTTCTCTGTGTGTCTCTGTCTCAATCCATCTGTCTCCTGGTGCCAGTATTTGATAAAATGTTTGGTTTCCTTCATCTGTTTCAGTTTGCCTTAAAAGATAGATTTTTGTTCTCCTTTCAAATGCATTTTCCCCATCACTTGCATTAGCTAAAACCCCACATTAAGTGTAACATTCTTGTTTCAATGCTTGTAAGCACTCCATCTTATCCTTTCTTCACATGTGCGTTTATTTGGTGTGAGTTGCTTCAATAAGAGGTTTGAGTTGCGCTCAACCTAATTTTGAAAATGATGCAAATCTCTATATCCAGTATTTGTAATAATACTTTGTGAAAACTAAGCATGGAAGAGACTACTGGATTTTATAATAATACATATTCTAAAAAGATGCAACAAAAGATAAAATCTGGACACTAATGCTTTTTTGCATAAAATATTAATCAAGCTAGTATGACCTGCACAACTTGAACACTGAGATATGCGCACACTGACAAACATGCTTACAAACACCCACATGTGTAAGTAGAACAGCCTTGATGATATTTTTTTCTTTTTGGCAAATCCTTGCAGATACAGGGTTCCTAAAGAACCAGAAAAGCTTGCAAAACTATGGAAAAACAAACCTATATTTGGAGTGAACATGGCCACTGAAAGTACAGGGGAGCTATGCAAGGGAGACATAGTGTATGTGGCTCGGTTATCTGCCCATCCTTGGTTCAGAAGCGCATAGTCTGAACTTTGACCCCTTGTTATATACCTCAAATTAAATTTAGTTGTATTAAAATCACCAAAGAATACGACCAATGGTCTTGATATATCATATGATTTTAAATGTCTAATTGAGAATATCTCAACTGTATTACAAGTAAATTTCTATCTTAGATATTGCTGCAATTTCAAGGAATATTAAATAATTACATAAAGGTATATAAATGTACAAACTGTAATGGAAGATATGTATAAAATCTACTTCATTTTTTATACAAATTTTTCACAAGCCCAATTATTTTAACATTTCTGTTTCTCAGTTAATCATACATATTGAAAGGTACTCTTCATGGAATAAGATCTCTCTCTGAGAATTCTCTCCTTCTCATTAATCCCTAAATCTTTATATAACAGCCTTGAGAAAGCAAAAAGTTGTCACTGTTAAACATCTGATACATTATCCTCAAGGTTATTTCATACCTGACCATAAACAAGTTTTCAGGTGAAAGATGAAATTCAAACACAAGCTGTAAATTCTTCCATTTTATTCAACAATCTAGAAAATACATGCCATCCTTTTTTGGTTTATAGGTCGGTAATCGTGCATTTCACACACACGAAAAATTAAGAGAAAATGTAGCCATCTTTCTTTTGTGTGAAATGAATGATTAATTGTTTCACTATTGCATAACATATCACTGTCAAGCATTGTCAAATAATCTTACATAAAACTATCTACAATATATGAAAATAGTTTTTATTAAATATAACCAACAATATACTACTTGGGATGATCTTAAACATGCACACATACACATAAACAACTTACACAATTCACACACATTTATATTTGGATGTAATGAGACCTAATAGAGATTGTTATTTTCTCATCAAATAACATTTTCAACTAACCCGTCTGTATTGCAAATGGTTTTAGTGTTTCTCTTTCTTCTTCAACAACAAAAATAAATGTTGAAACATTCTGAATAAAAAAAATGCTCTTTGTAACAAACAATTAGGAGTATGAATGAGAATTAATAATACCATAATGCAGATACATGATTCAAATTTCGGTGTTAAAATCTGATGCAGATGGAATACCAATGTGCAATATGGAATTATTCATTTCCATTCTGAACTCTTCTATGTAAAAAGTGTCTGCCAAGTTCAGTTCTATAAATGAACTTCAGGCATATTTCGATCAGAGTATGAATCATGAAAGCTGTACTTTCATTTTAAGTTGCAACCTCACCTAAACACCTGATATGCATACAAAAATCTGATTAAATTGTAAAAAAATCCTATACAGTGTCTTTCTCATTCAATCATAATATCCAACAGTGATTATCAAAACTGTTGATTACCCATGTCATATAAATCTCTTTGTATATAACTGTTATATCAAAAAGCCAAGAGAGGAGTTAAAAAATAAAACAGGAGATATAAAGTTTAGGAAAAAAAAATCACAATCTACATATATCAACCAAATTCAACTTGCATCTATCAACTTGAGCCATAGTAGATATCAGTTCATCTTTTTGACTTTATTGTATTTTTTGCCTCCTCCATTTACTTATAATCAAAACCCTGGGCTCCTTAATTAAGCTTTCTGACTTTGTATGAAAATTAAGAGAAGTTAGAAATAAAAAGAAGTACAAGAAGGCTTCAGTATATTATATATACAAACACTAATAAAATGATGAATATTATTTAAGGTTTACATGAATCACAACCAAAGAACCTGGGATTCTTAAGTTATTAAATAAAACAGTACAGGCCAGCAGATTCCAAAAGCATTGTAGTATCTTTTAAAGTACTCAAAATCTTATATACCACTTAAAAAAATAATAAAAATAAAAATGGAAAGATAACAAATATGTCACTACACTCCAGAAGGAGCTGTTTCCCTGTAAAACATACATCAGGTTATCACAAAACAAAAAGGGAAACTGAAATGTACAGTCAAGTAGAGCTTCTGGCTACGAAACCACAAAAATCAATAATCAAAAATATTTATAGCCGCCTGCTGAGGTTACAGACAGTCGTCTAACATCACACCAATTTCATGTTTTTTGTGAAAAGTTATCCTTTGTTTTTCTATAAAGAAAGAAAGAAAGAAAACTATGAGCTTCTGAATATGTTTTGTTAACTTTCCAAAAAAAAAAATTTAAAAAAGACAAAATATGTATATATAAATAGGTATATAAAATGAGCTACTTCAGTCCAATGTAAACAGATGTAGGACAAAGTGACAGTGGATTGTGTTTGATGTTCCATCTTTGGCTTTATACAGATGTAAATACTGTGCTTGATTACATTATTTCAAAGAGAAAAATAAAACTCTCTACCTGACATTTTGTTCATATTTTTAAAATTAAATGTTCACTTCCCTGCACAGGAAAATACAATACATATATTCGAGTCCACAGATACCTCTTTTTCTTAATCCTTTATATACAAGGGGGAAGGGGATTAAAAGAAAAGTTTCAACACGAATTCCTGGAATCATATGCAACAAATGTGTTTTCTAAGTTTGTGAGAACACATATAGAAAAAAAAATTAAATACAGGACACAAGTACAAACGCATTTTGATAACTCTAACAAATCACCACAACATATCTGCGAGAAGTTGGTTTAACATACAGATTTCTATTCCATGCTGCTCTAGCATAAGAGGGATCTCACCTGAGGTCTAAAGAAGT